GTACAGCTGGTGAACGCGAAGAAGAAGAAGATTGTGTTGTTTCCAGTGCCTTATTAGGGGCGGGGGTGGGGAATATATATATATATATATATATATATATATATATATATATATATATATATATATATATATATATCATATATATATATATATATATATACGACTACATCTAATTTCTTCTGTTTATTTCTTCACCGGTTGTCAGCTCCAGCGGAGAGAAAGTTCTGGTTGTTCGTCCTTGTGAACTTTGGCTTTGTGCCAGGCCGAGTTTAGCGTGTACGTCCGTTTTACTGGCTTTTTTTGTGTGCAGCTGGTTGTTCCTTGCCGCTAAGGCAGATGCACTCTGACCTCGAAGGAAGTCTCCCCCCCCCCCCCCCCCCCCCGCTTAGTCGACTTCTGCGATATGCTTGTTGGAGAGGCAGTGTGCCTTTTCTTGTTTTCCCCCGCAATCGGGGCCCGGAACCCAACGGGGGGGGCATCAAGTAACAGTTATAAAGGAATTTCTGAAAAGTATAGGCGGTTGGACAACGAAACAAAACAAAACAAAAAATCGGCGAAAGGTTACAACGATAACTGGTTTGTCACTACCTGTCCCAAATGCTGGTTTTGCTATCTTTAATTATTAGTAGTCACGCATGTTTTATCTTTGGGTGAAAATATACTGTGTGCGTTTTTCTCATATGGAAATCTAAGTATGATACTCTCTCAGCGTGCGGTCTGTTGTGTGTGACTACGAACGACATTATGTCTGATCCATAACCCCTGCTCCAGCCCTCGCATTACTTCTCTCGATCTAGACTGTCGTCATATTACCGACACGTCCCGATTTCATCTTACTTTGTCATCCGGAAACTGAAAATATGAGCCACACGCAGGGGTGCCGGAATCTCAGGGCATGGAGGGAGGGGGCCCTTGGGCATCTTGACATCCCCCCCCCCCCACAAAAAAACTAGCCTGCCATAAAAGACGACTAATTAGGGGTTGGTTCAAATCGGATGTGTTGGGTCGAAAGCCGCAGGTACCGCTGCCCACCCCAGTGGCGAGGCCTGATCAGTTCGCATGTGTATGCCTTAGCAGGTAATGTTTACATTGGAGAGGACATCACATGATATTTACCGCCTCGTTGCTTCGCTGTTGAGAATATGTATGCGCAGCAAGCCTTTAAGTACTAGTAACATGTAGCTTTCACACATTACATTTTCTGCTTGAGTGGGATAGGTTGCAGCAAGCATTCTTTTCGCTATGTTTGAGACTGAGACGTGAAACCGATGGTCGCATTTTGTAGTAAATGGTAAACAGTAGTCGGCTCTGTGGCTAAGTCGATGCAAACGCTTCGTAATGCCGGGATACCGGGTTCGATCCCAGCTGCAGGCCAATGCCTTGCGTTGGTTTCGACAGTGGTATCAAGAAAGCTGACCTTCCAGAAAGCAGTGGCAAACTACTGGACTTAAATTTGCCTAGAAAAACCACACAACAGCCCACAACCGCCAGGGACTGTTGGGGTTGGTTCTGCAACGTCCTGTAAAGGACACGTAACTAACCAGTCAACAGTAACAGTATATAATGAAATAGTGTTTCTTTGGCGGTAGAAAATGTAAGCAGTGATGACAGGCGTTACATACATCGCCACTGGCCTACCTGTAAACAAAACACAACGTACCAACCTAAGGGGCAAACTGAGAAGGAGGAGAAGACATCATCGATATCATCACGTGCCCTGCCATCTGGCGTAGACGCTCATGCATCTCCACAAATTACGATTTATGTTTGCCTGGAACAGTTCTCTTGATGATATCCCTCTATGCCATCTTTTTAGCCCATCCAGCTTCTTCTCTCTACGTCTGCCTCTTGCCCTCTTTCCAATGATCTTTCCAGTTGTCACGATGTTTTCCAGTGCCTCTTTTCTCATTACGTGGCCAAAGAACAGTGTTTGTCTAATTATTATTGTTGTATATAGAGATCTACTTTCTTTAGCTTCTTTAAAAAGTCGTTGTTAGTTACTCTGGCCGTCCAGGGCATTCGTAACATTTGTCTCAGAAACCACAGCTCTGTTGCTTCTAAATTCCTCTTAATCTGTTCGCAGAATACAACAGAACAGGTTCTATGCAACATTTTAGCACTCTCTTTATGACATTAAATGAGAGCGACTCATTGCATTAGATTTTTTTTTTTTTTTTCATTGTCTGAAATGCTGGAGGAGAAGACAAACGAGTTAAAACTAGTACTCCGGTGAACAGAAAGGGTCAAAAAAACTACAGGATTGTACCGAACGAGACAACGCTCGCCTGCGGATCGGGAGGTTGTGGGTTCAGTTCCTGGCGGAGCCGTATTGTTTTCCCCTTCAAAAATGATCTTGGCTACCATATCCGCCCAGCCTCAAATGGGTACCAGGTACAGTCGTGGAAGGTAAAGGCGGCCGGCGCGATGTTGACCACATTATCCACCGAATGCCGAATGGTTTATAAAATATAGGTTTAGCCCATTATGACCAATACACCTAAAGGCGGGGAAAGGGCCCTTTACTTAACTTGCTGAAATGGTTAAGGCTTTAAATCTCCTGTACATGGGCCGAGTTTATACTGTGACTGCTGTGCGTGTCACAAATTTCCCAATACACTTCCTGGCAAACACCTGTACCTGGGCCCTGCGTCGGGGACTGTCGTTGAAATAACTGCCTGTTTACCTCGTTGTAACATTTAAACGAGAGCGTTCTTTGGATTGTACGGTTGGAGCTAACCACATTGTCTCTGGTTCTGCTACATACCGGCTGTTTTATCTGGGTTGTATGGGTAGTGCACGCAGTTCTGTGGCTTAGATATTGGTGCCTGCGTTTAACACTTGCATGATTGCTCCTCGCGTACTAGAAGAACGGTTTATTTACTCTCTTCTTTTGTGCCAGGCCGAGTTTAGCGTGTACATCCGTTTTTAAATTTCGTGGTTTTCGGACAACAGTACGAGAGAGGCACAGTGGGAGAGATTAGGACAGCACCCCGCAATGGGCTTTTTTATTTCGTGTCGCCAGGAATAATCTGTGATGGTGGTGGGAAGATCTGTACAGTACTTAATAATTTAAGCACTAATGATACGATTGCTATTATTATTATTCTGCGTTCGCCCTTTTAAGGACTGTTGACATGTTGTGGTTTACAGCTAAGCTGCGATATCCGCGCCCTTGGTCCAACGTATTGTCGGTTCGATGATTTCAGCAAATCTCTAATTAGTCGCCTTTTACGACATGAGTTACGAGTTGGATTATCTTAACAGCACTCCGTACACATCCATAGGTGTTCAGATTCCCCCTTCAGCATATTCGTCAGCATCGCGCGGATAATAGTGCCAGTCTTGTGCTAGCTGATAATACTTCGTTTGCTTCTCATGCATGGCTGTGCTGAACTTTTACTCCCAGTTCTCGTATTCGTAACAGTGATGGGGACATAGGTGTTGACGGGGGGAGTGGGTAAGAGGCATTTGTCAATAAGGATTTGTCTGCACAGGCAAAAGTATGTTTTACATAGTTAAGGTTAACTAAACATTACCTCCGATTTGGGCATTGTAAGGCCACACAGCGTACTTAAATGCAGCAGTTGTTTGTAGCAAAAAGTTAAATGAAAACCCGGAAAAAGGTGCTAAATAAGACACGTGTCATAGCGGCTTGGCGCCACACTCTGAGCCACTGGGTCGATTCTTGGTGTGTGAGATCATGCCCATGTCTGTGGGGTAAATGTTAGGCTGGTCTCCCCATCTGCACACCGCTACACACTGGCTCGCTTCTTATTGGACGACCTACTGACCACCTCACCACTGATATCGGCTTCGAGCGATCCGACTTTCACACAAGGTCACGGGGATATTCCGCACTCGCGCTGACGCTTGTTATATATTTCACCATGCTGAAGCTTTTAACACTTCTAAAATTTGAGATACTGGGTCTAACACACAACCCCCCTAGAAAGTGACAAAACCTATGTCACAGGTCGTCTCTTTCTGGGAAATAAAAACGTTAATACCAGACAACTACAGATTGCTACACCATAACCTCGACCACGGTAGACTAGTCCAACTACCTTATCAATGGAGTTGACCTACAACTGGTGGTGTGCAAATGGGAAGACCATTGTAAAAATAACCGGATGTGGCAGTTGGCGTAGCGTCGTAAAATGTTTATTTGGTTACTGTTGTAAGATCTGACGTAGTCCGTATTTGCTAGGACGGAGGAAATCAGGAAGTAAATAAGCATAAAGGGGAAAAATGATTGCAGGTAAGTTGAGGAAGCGGTGAATGTCTGAAAAGAAAGGCGTTACATACAGAGGATGATAACATTAGTTTTGAAATCAGATGCTGTATTTGTGAAAGATTTTTTTTAAAGCGTGCAAGTTTCCATGCCTACCCTGCCCTTAAGCACAGTAACTATAGGTGCCAGCGATTGGTCTTCAGTCCCCAACAGTGGCAGAATGTTTTTTTTTGATAATTAGGATCAGGGCTCTTATGGAAGAGACCCGAGTTCGAATCCTTTGTAAAGCTAGTGATTTATGTTTCTGTGATAAGCAGGAAAAGAAATGAGTTAAATCTTAACCTGCAGAGTCTGTGACGACATTACCGGCCATGCGGCCCCAAATCCTCAGGCTTAGAACCCCCCCCCCCCCCCCACCCCCTCCTTTTTTTTTCTTTGCATAGCAAAAGTGGTGATTTCAGCAGTTATGACAGTTTCTTTGACAGTTTGATAGGATGGAATCAACCTGCGGGAATGTGTTTCAAATAATTTGCTTCCGGGAAGATGCCCTCAGAATGTTGACCTTGACCGCCTTGTCGGTGCTTAACAATAAACTCGTTTAAATATATAATTTTTAATAATCTGCTTTAGCAGATTGCTATTTTAACTATTTTTTCCACAACACAAGCAAGAACAAATAAACAAACAAAACTATGACTAAATTCATATCATGTGTGGCTAGTCCGTCTGTGAAATAAGTCGTCTGCTCGGTAGAAGGGAATCTGTGGTTATGGCGGGTTGTTGTGTAACCACTGACATGTGGTCGGCGGGACCCGCGGACATTCTGTCGACTCTCAACTGCGGTGTTCTTCGGAATATCCTCTCCGGAAACGCAGAGGAGGTAATGTCTTTTATTGTAAATAATTGGTGTTTTGTTCACGTCTGCATCGCTGACTGTTTCGGCCATGTAAAAAGTGCATTTTTATAAAATTTTATACAGATGGTATCAACAGACGTCATTATCACATGCCTTGTTATACGGGTTAGCAGTCGTTCCAGTCCGGATAACAAATTTTTATTTTTTAAGTCTGACTGCTGCTGCTGCTGCTGCTGCTGCTACTACTACTACTACTACTACTACTACTACTACTACTACTGCTACTACTACTACTACTGCTACTACTACTACTACTACTACTACTACTACTACTACTACTACTACTACTACTACTACTACTGCTGCTACTACTACTACTACTACTACTACTACTACTACTGCTGCTACTACATACTACTACTACTACTACTACTACTACTACTACTACTACTACTGCTACCTGCTGCTGCTACTACTACTACTTGCTAGGCTACTACTACTACGCTACGCGCTTACGCTAATGCTACTGCTACTAGTGGGTACGACTACTACTACTGTCGACTTCTGTGGCTTAGGCGTTACGAACGCGCTTCGTAATGCCGGAGTGGGTTCGATTCCGGCTGTGGACGATTTGTCTTGGTTCCGATAGTGGTACCGAGAGCTGAACGTTTAGGGAGCAATGGCAAACCACTGAACGTAAAATTTGCCTAGAAAAACGACAACAGTCAAAAATGCTTGGATTGGTTTTGCAACGTCCTGTAACTCTTTTTAACAAAAGGAACGCATTATACGTTTGTAGGTTCCTACATAGAAGACCAACGAACGCAAGATACGCCGATTTTGCTTCTCTCTCGACCGCCCCATGGGCCTTTGATGCTAACCCCCGTTGGGACTAAAAAAAAGTTAAAGGATCCGCAACGAATTTTCTTTTTTTACTGCTGCTGCTGCTACATTAGTGCTGCTACTACTGCTGCTTCTGCTTTTGATATTACTGCTGCTACTACTACTACTGCTGCAGATGCTGTTGGCACCGCCTGATGGAGGACGAAAGTTAGTTTGGTAATTTCGAATCACATCGTCTTCAGTTACTGCTGTTTAGCATCCAGTTACCCAGACCGACACCTCGTTTTTCAAAGCATACAGTTGCGATGAAATATATCGTATAGATAGAGTGAGAAACAAAAGGTGAACATGTCCTCCATAATTGTCGGCCCAGCGGCAGGTGCAATGTGACTTACCTTACACTGCACTGTAAAAGGTCATTTCTTTCTCTTTTTCTTTCTTTCTTTCTTTCTTTCTTTCTTTCTTTCTTTCTTTCTTTCTTTCTTTCTTTCTTTCTTTCTTTCTTTCTTTCTTTCTTTCTTTCTTTCTTTCTTTCTTTCTTTCTTTCTTTCTTTCTTTCTTTCTTTCTTTCTTTCTTTCTTTCTTTCTTTCTTTCTTTCTTTCTTCCTTCCTTCCTTCCTTCCTTCCTTTCTTTCTGTCTTGTTTTGGTTCTTTTTCTGCGCTCACCCTTTAAAGGTCGTCTGGCACGTTTTGTTGTTGTTTAAAGCTAGGCCGTGATATCTGCACTTTCGGCCCAAACATCCAGTTTCAGCAGATACCCTAATTGTTCTTTGTATACGACATGTTTTTTTTAGGAGGACTTTTTTTTCTCCCCCTCTGCCCAAAAATATGGCCCCCAGAACCCACACTGTACCTCCCGTTCCCTATTTTTTTTCTGTATCAACTCACATTTTCTTTCTTTCTTCCTTCCCCTTCTCTTTCTCCCCCCTCTTCCACCCCCCACATCTCTCTTTCCCCCAGTTTCTCTCTCTTCCCCTCTCTCTCTCTCTCTCTCTTTTGCCCCCCCCCCCCTCTCTCTCTTCCCCCACATCCATCCTCCCATCTCTCTTTCTCTCCCCCATCTCTCCACCCCCATCTCTCCAACCCCATCCCTCCACCCTATCTCTCTCTCTTTTCCCCCTACCCAAACATGTTGTCTGTGTGTCTTATTGTTGTTGAAGGGATTCTGATTCATCATGTTGTAGCCCTGATACAAAACATTGAGTGGAGTAGTGGTAGTTTGTTTCTAGTCACTGCTGGGTCTAGGATTAGTTGTTCAGTATTCCTGAGTTAATTAAGCTCTTTTTATGCCTGTCAGTTTCTTAGCTCTCTGTGGACTATCAGGTTGAGCTCTAAAGCGGTAGAATTGATTCTCAGTTAGTTGTGGTAGCTTATTCTCAGTTGGTTAGTTGTGGTAGCTTATTCTCAAACGTTTAGTTGTGGTAGCTTATTCTCAGTTGGTTAGTTGTGGTAGCTTATTCTCAACCGTTTAGTTGTGGTAGCTTATTCTCAGTTGGTTAGCTGTGGTAGCTTATTCTCAGTTGGTTAGTTGTGGTAGCTTATTCTCAAACGTTTAGTTGTGGTAGCTTATTCTCAAACGTTTAGTTGTGGTAGCTTATTCTCAAACGTTTAGTTGTGGTAGCTTATTCTCAGTTGGTTAGCTGTGGTAGCTTATTCTCAAACGTTTAGTTGTGGTAGCTTATTCTCAGTTGGTTAGTTGTGGTAGCTTATTCTCAAACGTTTTGTTGTGGTAGCTTATTCTCAACCGTTTAGTTGTGGTAGCTTATTCTCAGTTGGTTAGCTGTGGTAGCTTATTCTCAGTTGGTTAGTTGTGGTAGCTTATTCTCAAACGTTTAGTTGTGGTAGCTTATTCTCAGTTGGTTAGTTGTGGTAGCTTATTCTCAGTTGGTTAGTTGTGGTAGCTTATTCTCAAACGTTTAGTTGTGGTAGCTTATTCTCAAACGTTTAGTTGTGGTAGCTTATTCTCAGTTGGTTAGTTGTAGTAGCTTATTCTCAAACGTTTATTTGTTGTAGCTTATTCTCAGTTGGTTAGTTGTGGTAGCTTATTCTCAGTTGGTTAGTTGTGGTAGCTTATTCTCAAACGTTTAGTTGTGGTAGCTTATTCTCAAACGTTTAGTTGTGGTAGCTTATTCTCAAACGTTTAGTTGTGGTAGCTTATTTTCAAACGTTTAGTTGTGGTAGCTCATTCTCAGTTGGTTAGTTGTGGTAGCTTATTCTCAAACGTTTAGTTGTGGTAGCTTATTCTCAAACAGTTAGTTGTGGTAGCTTATTCTCAAACAGTTAGTTGTGGTAGCTTATTCTCAAACGTTTAGTTGTGGTAGCTTATTCTCAAACAGTTAGTTGTGGTAGCTTATTCGCAAACAGTTAGTTGTGGTAGCTTATTCTCAAACAGTTAGTTGTGGTAGCTTATTCTCAAACAGTTAGTTGTGGTAGCTTATTCTCAAACGTTTAGTTGTGGTAGCTTATTCTCAAACATTTAGTTGTGGTAGCTTATTCGCAAACAGTTAGTTGTGGTAGCTTAAGCATTCACCGGCTGTAAACTCCGGTAAAGTCTTGGGTGTCCTCCTTTTCTGGACTTTGGTATTGTTCCAGAACTTGAGATTTACATGCACATCCGTTTTACGGATATGGCCTATTAATATGCAGACTGTTGGTTTCCTGCCTCAATGGCAGATGTACTCCTACTTCGATGGAAGCACCCCTAATTAGTCACCTTGTACGACATGCTTGTTAGGAGGCAGTGGGTCTTTTATCCCCCCCCCCCCCCCCCACAAATAAAAACTGAACCCTGGGACCTACACAAAGGGAGTATCAAACATATGATGCTAGGCCACCTTTCCATCCCACAAAGTTTCCTAGTGCCTGTTTTATGCTGGCTCATATTTATTTTTTGGTGTGTTCTTCTAAATCTGCCTTATGCGGAATGAAACCCAGTACATTCAGGCCAGTAGGCGAGCGTCTAGCCATTACCCTGCCACAGCTCCCAATGTAAAATTCGTATAGAATTACTATAAATTTTATTGTATAAGTTGTGTTTTCCAGCCTAAGTTAAAAAAAAAATATTTGCCAAGCTAGAGGTTTTCAGCTTTTTTTAGCCCCAAAAGTTCATAGTTGATTCCCGGGTATAGCAGTAATACAACCAAAGTATAGGCATACTAACTCCCCAGGGGCTCAATATACAGCAGAATATTGGAGACACATATGTTGCCCTGACTAAACCTCAGGTACATGAACATACATAAGATGTTTTCATGTTGTCTGTAATACTTTGTCACCCATGGTGCATTGTTTGCTTCTTAAAGAGTTAAGTGGCCACTGTGTTGAATAAAGAATCAACATCACAGCACTCTGGACCAGTATAAAGTGGCACAGTGACCAGTATAAAGTGGCACAAAGGCCAGTATAAAGTGGCACAGTGGCCAGTATAAAGTGGCACAGTGACCAGTATAAAGTGGCACAGTGACCAGTATAAAGTGGCACAGTGACCAGTATAAAGTGGCACAGTGACCAGTATAAAGTGGCACAGTGACCAGTATAAAGTGGCACAGTGACCAGTATAAAGTGGCACAGTGACCAGTATAAAGTGGCACAAAGGCCAGTATAAAGTGGCACAGTGACCAGTATAAAGTGGCACAGTGACCAGTATAAAGTGGCACAAAGGCCAGTATAAAGTGGCACAAAGGCCAGTATAAAGTGGCACAGTGACCAGTATAAAGTGGCACAGTGACCAGTATAAAGTGGCACAAAGGCCAGTATAAAGTGGCACAGAGGCCAGTATAAAGTGGCACAGTAAAGTGGCACAGTGGCCAGTATAAAAGTGGCACAGTGGCCAGTATAAAGTGGCACAGTGGCCAGTATAAAGTGGCACAGTGGCCAGTATAAAGTGGCACAGTGACCAGTATAAAGTGGCACAGTGACCAGTATAAAGTGGCACAGTGGCCAGTATAAAGTGGCACAGTGGCCAGTATAAAGTGGCACAGTGGCCAGTATAAAGTGGCACAGAGGCCAGTATAAAGTGGCACAGTGGCCAGTATAAAGTGGCACAAAGGCCAGTATAAAGTGGCACAGTGACCAGTATAAAGTGGCACAGTGGCCAGTATAAAATGTTCTAGGCTGGTATAGGCTTAACTTAGACATTGTTAAGTAAAAATCTTGAGGTTGACTTGTATCAAGTCAACTTTGTGTGTCACAGGTTAGAATAAATTCTTTCAAACAATCAAGTCAACCCTTTAGACATTATTTCAAGTTGCAGAATTAAGTTTTCTACTATTTTCCTTGTTTCGAGATGTTTGATTTGCTTTCATTATATTTCCTTTTGTCTGTATTTTTTTTTTTTTTTCTGTTTTATTGCATTTGTTTTCTTTCCTTTGATATTTTTTCTTGTTCAAAGTGTTGGTTGGTTGCAACCGCTATTTCATATTTTTCAGCAGTGTAGTTATGTATTTAATTTATTTTTACAAGTAAACAGTTTATATAATTTTGTAGTTGTGTGTTCACTGTGTAAGAAAAACAGTATTACTACGATATATTTTTATTGTCTTAAAAAAAAACACATTTACCATAATATATTTTTCTTGTTATAAGAAAACAGAATTTAGCATGGTGTGTACTTATTGTCATACAGACAACAGAATTACCATGTGAATTATTTTTTGTCATGCAGACAACAGAATTACCATGTGAATTATTTATTGTCATGCAGACAACAGAATTACCATGATTTGAATTTATTGTCATACAGACAACAGAATTACCATGTGAATTATTTATTTTCATGCAGACAACATAATTACCATGATTTGAATTTATTGTAATACAAACAACAGAATTACCATGTCAATTATTTTTTGTCATGCAGACAACAGAATTACCATGATTTGAATTTATTGTCATACAGGCAACAGAATTACCATGATTTGTATATATTGTCATGCAGACAACAGAATTACCATGATTTGTATATATTGTCATGCAGACAACAGAATTACCATGATTTGTATTTATTGTCATACAGACAACAGAATTACCATGATTTGTATTTATTGTCATGCAGACAACAGAATTACCATGATGTGTATTTACTGTCATAAAGAATATTGAATTGCCATGATATGTGTTCTTTATTATACAGAAAACAGAATTACTCCCAACAAGCATGTCATAAAAGGCAACTAATTAGGTAAATAGGGTGTGTTTCCTTTGAAGTCGGAAGTCTGCCTGTAAGGTATGGAAGCAATAGTCTGCATTTAAATAAGTCAATATATGTAAAAAAAATATGTAACTGAATGTGCACGCAAAAGTCTAGTCTTGAAACAAGACCAAAGTCTAAAAGTATACGAACAGCCAAACTTTTTTCAGATTTACAGGTGGTGAATGGTGACATATTTTCATTGTCTTACAGAAAGCAGAATTACCATACTGTATGCTTATTGTCTGACGTAAAACAGAATCACCATGGCATTTTTTGTCTTACAGAAAGCAGAAATACCATTCTATATGCTTATTGTCTGACGTAAAACAGAATCACCTTGACAAATTTTCATTGTCTTACAGAAAGCAAAATTACCATGATTTGTGTGTATTATCTTATAGAAAACGCCTTTTCCTGGTGAGGTGCGAGACCTGACGAAGAGAATCCGCACAGTTCTGATGGCCACAGCACAGATGAAAGAGAACGAGAATGACCCAGAACTATTAGTGGACCTGCAGTACAGCCTGGCAAAGTCCTACGCCAGCACCCCTGAGCTGAGAAAAACCTGGCTGGATGCTATGGCCAAGCAACACATCAGACGTAATGATTTCTCAGAGGTTAGAGTGTGTTGTATTAGAGTTTGTTTTACATTAACAGATGTACAGAGGCGCTAATACAAGCAGTGTGCGACTTTGTGGCCTAGAGGTTAGCCTGCCCTCTCTACCTACAACAGTGAACATAAATCTGGTCTGAAGAGCAAAATGGGCAGAGCAAGCTGTGGGGAACAATGAAGGACCCGCAGCTGACATGCGAGTTCATAGAGGCAGCAAACCTGACAGTCTGACCTGAGCGTACGAATTCGAATTCAAAGAAGAAGAAGAAACACACTTTTCAATTAGCATATTCTATTTATTTTAATTATATGTCGTCAGAACCTAATTATCTGCCTTTCTTCATTTCAGGCTGCCCATTGTTACCTTCACATAGCTGCTCTGATTGCAGAGTACCTCAAACGAAGAGGTAAACATGAAATCAGTTTCTTTTGATTTAAGCATTATTATCTCTCCACTGCCTGAAGGAGCAGCTAACCGAGGGGTAGTAGTAGTCCCAGGTTTGAATCTTTGTTAAGGTGATGGTTTTTTTTTTTTTTAAATATCTGTTAGAGACAAAAATACAACACTCACAACCAGTTGAATACTCATTTTCGTGCAGCATATTTGAGCACACTCGCACACCTCCCACGCCCACGCCCTTTCAACAACCTCTGGCAGTTTGTGGCAACTGCACTAGCCAAGACCACCCCCTACCCGATCCTACTACATGGCCCTTATTCTTCTCGTCTTCTTCGCATTCACGAGCTGTAAACTGTGGCGGAAAGTTCTGGTTGTTTCAGGACCTAAGTGTTTGCATGCGCATCCATTTTATAGATCTGTCTCTTTTGTATGCAGACTGTTGGTGTCTTGTCTGTCAGGCAGATGCACTCCGACTTTGAAGGAAGCTCCAGTTAGTCGACTCTTACAACATGCTTGTTGGGTTTATTGGGTAGGTTGTGGGTCTCTTTTGCCATTCTCCTTACAGTAGGGCCCCTGAACCCACACGAGGACCTACACAGCAATAAAATTGGTGTAAGTAAAAAAAAAAGAGTAAAGATTCCTTTACACGCCCTAGGCGCATCGGGCAAATAAAGACATAGTTTTTTTTTCTTTTTTCAAGTAAGCCTTTATTAAGTTCACTTTTGTTATCTGTCCACTTGCAGTCAGTCCAAGAATACAAGAAAAGTTATGTCCCGGTATTTAAAACATGCCTATTAAAAAAAAATGACATACAGCCTGGCTTTCCTAGCAGCACTCGAAAATAAACTAGTTCCACTTGTTGTTTTAAATCAATGTTGAGATCGGCGGGTTAAGGTTTGTAAACCCAGTTTCATAATTCTCCCATACCAGTGTTAACAGCCAACTGTGGGTAGACCGCTTTGATTTGATTTGAAGACCAGTGTGAGCATTGAACCTTTTAGAAAGTAATGGCAAACTAATGAGCATACAATTATCTAGCAAAGCCAACAGCCAACAAATACTAGGTTTTGGTTTATGATGATCTCTACAAGGATATATAAACATTTTTTGTTTTGTTTTCTGGTCAATTACAGCCTAAAACATATGGTTGGATGTGCTCTTTTTTTTTATAAGCTTTTATTAAGTTTCCTTTTTGTTTCATTATTTTTAATTACTTGTAGCTTATCAGTCTAAAATGTAATCTTTGTGAATGAATATGTTTGTCTTGTGCTGAAAAATATCCTCAATGTGATGTGTATATCACTTTTTTCATGTTGTAGAATTGTTTATTATACATGTTTTGTGCTTTCTGGTCTTTTTCTAATAACTATTACTTGTTTAGATTTAAAAGTAATTTCTCTTGCTATGTTTAATGTAACTAGTTTTGTCGTCCATGTGTTTTTGGGGCTCATTAGAGATGCCCCCCCCCCCCCCCCCCCCCCCCCCCCCCCGGTCCCAAAAAAGTGTTTAGCGTTTCTCTTGTCTTATTCACTTTATTCTTTCCTTCCTCCTCCTCCTTTTTTTTGCATTCTCAGGCTGTCCACTTTGGCTCTGGTTGTTCATCCACTTCTGAACTTCAGTCTTGTTTCAGAACTTAAGTGTTTGAGATCTGGCCTTATTTGTATGCAGACTGTTGGTTTCTTGACTCACAGGCAGATGCACTATGACTTTGAAAGAAACCCCTAATTAGTCAACTCTTACGACATGCTTATTATGGCACAGTGCTTCAGTTCTTGTTTTCCCCATAATGGGGCCCCACAACCCACACAGGGGTAGCTTCTTCTTTGGGCTCTTGGCTTCAGCAGGCAGCTGATACTTTGTATTGTGGCTTACAGCTAGACTGCAGCAACACCTGCGTCTTTGGGCCCAACATGTCTGATTTTACCAGTCTCCAAATTGTAATTTTTTTACGTTATGCTTGTTAAGGATTCAGAGGGGTGTTCTCCACCCCCCACCCCCAAAGGGGCGCTGGAACCCACTCGGGAAGTCTTATTCAGCTTCTTATTAGTTATTTTGATTTAACAATAATTTATGATTTATGCTGATTGAGTGTAATTTGTTCCATTGCTCATCTGCTACTGGGGCCTGTAAGGGAAATAACTGCAATATCATAAGTTACTAAGCATGTCATAAGAGGCAGTTAAGGACATTGAAGTGAGACCAGCTTCCTCATACCTCATTCTGCAGAAAACTGTTATCTGCACAGTGCAACCATTCTGCTTTGTTCTTCTTCGTTATTTTTTTTTAATCCATGTGACGTAAATGAGTTGTGTTTGTTTATTGCATAGCTGCTATATTTGCGCTTTCAAATACATCTAATCCTTCTGATTTTTGTTTTCCGGTTTAGCCTTCCAAGTTAGTACATGAAACATTGTGGCACATTTGTACTGCTTTATTTACTGCAGTACTATACCCATGCACTTCATTCAAGTTGACTAAGGAGGTTGGAATGATCCTGGCAAACTTGTCCTATAGAAAGCTTTATCCTGAAAAGCCAGCCATTAATTGAGCAAGGCTACTCTCAGCAGATCCACACTGTTCATGACCATTGTCTGGTTTCATACTCTTCTCTGTTCTTCTCACTAGAGCATAACTTAAAGGACTTATTGTGCAGTGACCTTTACATTACATGAAGGTCTTGAGTTTAAATCTGTATTGAGTCTGGGTTGTTTTTTTTTTTTTCTTCAACAAAAAATTATCTTGGCTCTCATGTCGATTAAAAATGGTCACCAGGCAAAGGCCCTGGAAAAAAATAAAGACAGCAGGCCTGAAGCTAACCACATCACTCATCAAGTACTTACTGATTAGTCTATAAACATATGTGTCTAGCATCACATGCTGATGCGCCACAAGGATCCTTTACTTATCGACTTACCTTCGCATTCTAAATAACAGTTTTCTTGGACAAAGCTTTAGCCTGGGATTTTAATAGGTCATTAGAAATTATCTGCTATTGTAGTTACATCTGTGTGTGTGTTGTCCATCAAGTATGAGTACGAAGATGACTGATGAGGTCAATGCGGGCCAGAACAGTTCTTGGACAGTGAGGACAAGGAATGAGAGTTGTGCCAGGGAGGGAATCCCCTGCAGTCGCCTTTCTGTCCATTCTTTTCTTAATCAGTCTTGCTGTTCTGTTGGCTTCACATGTAGCCGCGCCCTTGTGTAGGGCTGCACGCCATGCATTTCGGTCTTGAGAGGCAGCCTCCCAATTGGTGTCATTCATCCCAAATGCTTTGTGAAGACTTCAAGGTGTCCTTAAAGTGTTTCTTTTGCCTGCCTTGGGAACGTTTCCCATTCTGCAGCTCACCATAGAAGAGTTTTTTTGTGTGTGGAGCCTGTGATCTGGCAAGATGCATCTAGAAATTTTGAAACAGAAACTCTGAAGGTTTGAGAGCTGTTCTAGCTTTATTTTGTCTGGTCTGGGTGCGTTGTTTTTTTTTTTTTCTTAGTCTAACACAGCGCATCCTCAGTTTCTGCAGCAAGAATTGATGGCCTTTGATCATTGCTTTGACTGTTCGCATCTGTTCTGTTAACATCGCATAGCTGTTCTGTTCATTCTGTCCATTGATTAATTGCAATATTTTGTCGCATTAATATTACGCCATCCTTCGATTTTTGTATTTATCTCCTACAGGGAAGTTAAAATCTAGTAAGTCTGTCCTGCCAATTTTGTGAAACTAATCTGCATTTTGCTCAGATCTGATGAATGCAAACATGTTTTTTCTATCACAAATTACATGTTCCTGTTCTCACAAAAGATTTTTTGTTTCTTTGATGGTTTAATTTGTTTAAAGTGGGACCAAGGATGATTTATTTGTTGTTGTTTTTTCCCTCCCTGTATGATAATAATTTAATAGCGCATGACTCGTCAAACTGTAGATTATACAGGCGTAAAAACTGTTTATGTAGCATTAACTTATTAGTTTCTAAGTTTTACTAATTAATTTAGATTACTTAATATGAACACTGTAAGTATGAACTCCAGATGTACAGGTTTCTCAAGTGTACAATGTATAAATTTGTTTTTTAGCAATGACTGTAGAAAGATATTTAGAAGGGTAATACATATTTTGTCTTCTTCTTCTTCTTCTTCTTTTTCTTCTTCTTCTTCTTCTTCTTCTTCTTCTTCTTCTTCTTCTTCTTCTTTTTTTTCTTTTTCTTCTTCTTTTTCTTCTTCTTCTTCTTCTTCTTCTTCTTCTTCTTCTTCTTCTTCTTCTTCTTCTTCTTCTTCTTCTGCTGCTGCTGGCCTTTATACCCTTTATACACTTTGGTGGTGGTTGGGGGGAAGAGGGGGGGGGGGGGATGAATGAAAAAGCCACTCCCACACATGACAGATATGCTGTAATTGGTAACTAATTAGCATTTTGTTGAAATTTGATGAATTGGGCCAAAAGAGGCAGATATCGCAGCCTAGCTTCAAACTGTAACACAGTGTGCTAACTGCCATTTCAAGTTTGAACACAGAAGAAGAACCAATCCCTTTTAAGACAAATTATTTTCATCCTGATGGAGGTGACATACTAATCTTACCCAGTACATTGTACAGCTGCAGTCGACCCTTTATTCCTTAAAGGACCCTGTTCCACACCATTAGGTGTGTAAGGCATAGAGTACTAGGAAAACCTCCAGAATTGGCACCTGGAATGTTAGAACTTAATACGGTCAAGGAAGAACAATGGAAGTAGTAATAATATAACTAGAATGTCTTTGCACTGGAACCCACAGGGACATAGAAATATAGGAAGGCCAAAACACATGGAAAAGGGAGCTGGAGAATGAAGTTAAAAAGATGGGGAGGACATAGGGAGAGCTGCATGCGATAGCAAAAGATAGAACAACTTGGCATGAGTTGGTTGAGGGCCTATGCTCCATTTAGGGCTAGAAAGGCAGAAGAAGAGATAGTTTAACTGTAGAGAGTTCCTCATTCAGTTTTGATGTTATCTTTTTGTGGAAAGTCTGCTTTAGTTGTGATGATGTATGTCTGCGGCAAGTCG